CCCGCATTCCTCCGGCAAACTGCGACCCTTTCGCGCGGCCCGCGCATGCAGACCCCAGCCTACTATTGGTCTGGCCGGGGCGGGGCACTTGGGCCCTTCGCTCGGCCTTTGGCTCGGCCTTTGGCTCGGCCCTTGGCTTGGCCCTTGGCCCTTGGCTCAGCCCTTGGCCCTTGGCTCGGCCCTTGGCTTGGACCTTGCCTCAGCCATTGGCGCCCGAGGGAGGAAGGGAGAGGGAGGGGAGTGTCTCATGGTGACGCGCGCCGCCGCTGCAGCCCTAAAATTTAAATCACTCGCCGAGGCGTCGCCACGAGGAGTGGCAGGCGGCGCGGTGGCGGCACTGGGATTGCTCTTCCTCTGAGATATAGTCAGAGATGGGCTGAGAAGTGGTTTGGGGGACGGCGTTATGTCGCAGGGGTTACCCATCGCTGACCGCGGCAGCGTTTTCCCTGCTCATGAAGTTATTCCAGAACAATGGAGTGTACTTTGCGCACCCTGAACATCGTTTGGTCCAGATACGAAATTCAAAACCGATGACATTTTAGATCTACAAACCAAATTGTTTTCGTGGTGATGTAATTCAGTCAAGCTCGCACTCTGTTCAATTAGTGCGGCCATATTTAGTTAAAAATAAGTTCATACCAAATTTTAGTCAATTTCGGGAACAAAATTTTCTTCTTTACTACCCTAATTTGGTTTCTGAAGTAAATACGTATAGTTCGCTGGGGTGCGGTCTCACGGTGTACCCGGGACATGCCGGAGCGTCCTCTCGATGGCTGGCTTTCCCTGCTCTCCATTTGCTCACCCACTCCTGCTCAACGCGTGGCTCAGCGGTGGTATCTCCCTTTCTCTTCGACGCCGACTTGACGTTTTTTCGCCGTCGTCCGCCCTTATGACCGGCGACTGGGGTGTCTTGTCGTAGTGCGCGCGCCTGCCCGTGCGTGTGTATGATATAGGGTATATGGGGAGGGAGTGTGCTGGGGTGTCGGCATGCCGGCGGCCGGCGGCACCCTCGCCATATGGCGCCGCCGCGTGTCGTGGCCAGCGCTGCGGGGCTGCGGAGCCTGGAGGTGGTGCTGGAGCTGCGGGACCAGCAGGCCTCGCCCCCCTCTTATATCGGCATCGTGGTACTAGAGCGTTCGGAGATGAGCTACCGGATTTTGCAAGTTAAGGTGCCGATCTAGGCTCGCCGTTCGTACTTTGATTTTGATGCAAGCTCATGATGGCTGGGCCGAGGTCGGTACCGGAAGTTGCATTCCGCGGCAGCGTTCACTCTCGGACCACCCTGCTACGAGGGGGGTGGGTCGCGTACAAGGGTGGAAGGGTGGGTTAGAGCACCGCGCCGAGCGAGCTGTGTGGGTCCCTGCTTCGACAGGTGAGACGGGGTGGAGGTAGGAGGGGTGGGCGCGGCGCGGCGGGTTAGCGCTAAGCTCGCGTAGCTCGCCCTTTGCGGGGGGCTCTTGGGTGGGCCTGG